TGTCCTCGAACACTTAAGACAAAAAAGTTCTATAGTTCAATGACTAAGTTTCGTAAATCACAAAAAATTAAATATCAATTATTGACAGTCCATGTAGCTTAATTCTTCTTCTATATAGTCCAGTTGTTGTGAAAGAATACTTATACGTTCATAATTTTTATCGTAAAGAATTAACAACTTGTCTAATTGTAATTTGAACTCAACTTGTTCTTCTTTAGTCTTATATGTCATAATCAATGATTCCATGATAAAATTTTGGTAACGCTTTAAATATGTTTCTAATTCTTTGAAATGATTTTCAAATCTTATATGTAGTTCATTATTCAAATATTCAATAACTTGTAACGTTACTGCTAGAATATTAGCATTAAAAATTGCAAAGCAGTGTTTTTTTAACTTTTCTAAGCGGATACGATATTTAGCTTCACTGTCTTTGTTATCATCATCGAAAGGTATTTGCACTAACCACAACGTCTACCATACTCGATGTGTTCTTTCAATTTTGTATCTATCAGCAATGGCTTGTAAATGTAAAGGTACTTTCTCATTAAATGGATGAGAACTAATGATCAAATTAAATGTATTTCTTAAACGATTCTGTGCTTTAGTCAAAACCTCTTCTGTTTCATGTTTCAAATCGGCGTTTAATTTTTCACGGAGATATTCACATTTCTCATTAATTGCTGCACTAATAGTATGAAGTACTTCTTGACTGATGTCATGCACTTGAGTTTCGATTGATTTGATCGCATTTTTTGCTTCGAGTTCAGTATCAAACTGAAGATCATTAGACGTGGTCATTCTTTCTATTAACCATAAGAAAATATCTTGAAATATTGCTTTCTTTAAGCTTTTTTCATCTGATTCTGTTTTCCTTAAAATGTTCTTGACATTTGTTGCTCCAGCCAAAAATAGAGAACGGTCTGAGTATTTTTTCTTTAAATCATCGAATTTCATTTGAAGTGTCTGAAATCCTTTGCTCTTAGCTTCATCAAAAATCGCTTTTATATCATGTTGAATTCCATTTTGTTTGGTCTGCTCTAGAATAGTTCTTTGTGTTTCCATAACTTCATCTAGTTTATCTAAGTCTTCTGATAAATTTATAATTTCTTCATTGAGTTTATTGGCATCTTGATCAAGTAATTGTCTTCTTACGTGAACATTTTCTTTTAATCTTTCGTTTGCAGATCGTCCAAAAGCTAATGCTGAAGCTAAACAACGCGGTGCTGCTTTCGTTATTAGACATTCAATAGCATCATGTAAGAATGAAGGAAATCCAGATTCTTGCCATAGACATTCAATGGCTTCATGTAGTTCTTCCATTGTTGGTGTCTTTCTTTTTCCTCGAACACCAAATGCTTCGGCAATAAAATCGGTTGCCGATGGTAAATCTTTAATATCGGAAGAGTTTGATGATAGTAATTCTAAACGAAATTGTTTTGAGAGAAGAGCACGACGAGCTTGTATTTCAAATACTCGATTCTCATATATAGTGCCAATGCCAAATTTAGTTATGACAAGTTCTTTGACTTGTTCTTGCGTTAAACTACGTCTATTGCGTTGATCAACCTTATTTACTAAAGCATAAAGCGAATCGTATGAATGTTGTAGATCTCGAATTTCATTTATGTCTTTCGCAACCATATGATCGACTTCTGTATTGAGCGACGTAAAATCGACAACAACTAAAATAATCCCAGCCTTTTCTAATTCGTCAAGAAAGATTTTTTTCAATAATTTTGAACCCGATGCTTCATTAGGACCAGGAGTGTCAACAATCACCAAATTACCTAATGCGTTATGAATAAAAGATTCATCACCAATGGCTGAATAAGGTGCATAAATCCGAGGTAGAATGCTGAATTTTTCGATTGAAATTTTAGAATCATCATTTTCAATTAAAATTACATGAATGCGAATAATATCATTGATAAATGCTAAAACTCGACATATTTGGTCAACTCCAGATGTTTTTGTTGTTAATGTAGGACAAGATGTAGATGCATTCTGAAGTTGTTGAACTATTTCCAATAAATGTGGATAAGACAATAATATATTTTGTAAAGCATCAGAATAATTTTGAAGATGATTCCGAATAGATGATTGAATTCGATTTATTTCATCGATGAATTTCACATCCAAATAGAGATATGGAGTATCGTCCGCTTTTTGTGTACTTATATTGTTGAGAACAATTTCAGTTGGTATGACTGTCATTGCTGTATTGCGTGTTGGCAATAGTTCTTGTCCGAGAATCGCATTTATAATAGTTGATTTACCAGCTTTCATTGGTGCAATAATTGGCATACGTAATTCTAATTTGTTTACCTTGTCCAATTCAAATATCAAACGTCGAACTAGACATGTTACCTCATTTTTGTCCCGATTGTTTTTTTTGCTAGTTAATAACTGATCCGTTGATTGACCAAGATCAATGCAATTTTGCAAAAAATTTGATAATTCGTGTTTTACACTGGAAATAATTGTAGTATTTGTTACATTGATTTGTGTAGTAGTAGTAGCACTGGTCGTCATTGATGTAGTGAATGTGAATAGGGTTAAATGTGTGTATGTGTGCGAGCCGTCTTCGTAGTGATGTAAAAAAAAATGTTCGATTTCTTTTTAAATGACGTTAGTAAGAAAAAAGGAACAGTATTTATGCAAGCCATCATGTCAGAAAGTAAGAAAGAAATCAAAAATCAAATATTTATTAGTTGTCAGCTTGGAAGAAATCTCATGGCTGTTCTCTTACTCGTACAACAACATAATGAAAGAAAGCTGATAAATGTTTAAAAATGTAAAAAAAAAAAAGAAATGTAGGATGCTTTGTGTTTTATTCTGAAATTAATAAGAACCCAGTCGAACAAAGACTATTTTGATTGTTTACTTGTTAATAATGGCAATAATAATTCTCCGATCATATTGCATACAGATACAGAATTCTATGTATGCCATTATTCTATGACTAACCAAAGCCGTCTTGAAATCACGAATTGTCATGAATTGTAAGTGCATCATGACAAGGAAACTATGTAGTTCACCATGATTTTATCGACTAGAGAGAACGGAGGAGTGGATATGGGTAAGCGGTTCATCTTAGTTGAACGCGCACCCACATTGTCAAAAAGTAATTCATTCGAGATCAAGCAGCGTGCGCTGAAACCATCTGTATAAAGTAAAACCATGAATGGTTTTTGATGGAATTTTTTTTTCACGAGAGTGGGGATGCATCGTTAAACGGTGTTATTGGTATTTACTATTAATTTCAATATGACATAATGGGTGAGACAGAAATAATGGGGCACTTTTGTTTTCTATCTTTCATGTACTTCATAATTGCTTTAAAATCTGGTTCTGAGCTCATTCGATAGAGAATTCATTTTTCTACAAAACTATCGACTACTTATTTCAAAGAGGTCTTCTTCGTGAGTACAAAATTTATAGGATTGACACCTATGTAACACATTTATGTTAGCTTTTCCCTGTTTTTGCATATACTTTGTATCTCTATACTTCAAAAGTGTAATACAGAGTCCTGATTTTTGTTTAATAGTTTAAATAAAATAATATGAGACGTGTTGGTAAAATTAAATCTTCATTTATCGTTATTGACACTTTATTATTGGTACATGGTTATGATGTTATCTTAAAGAATATCAAGCAATTTCCATTTATGTTTTGATGTTTACTTATTATAAGACAAATTTAAAGAGATATCATAAAATGAAGTATTTCAAAGAAGGAAAGAAATTGCACCAAGATTAATGACAGAAAATAAATTTATTTAATTCAATAATTTATTAATCTCTTTTAAAAACTGAGCCTTCCCATAGTTCAAATACTCCACAATTATTACGAGCACAATTAAAAGTTGGATCATGTAAAAGTAGTTTACCATCTTGTTCTGGTGTAAAGTATAACGCACAATCAACATAACCATTAGCAGAGAGTCGTGAAGGAATAGTGTTAGGGACATATTCAACTTTAATAGTATTTAATGAACAATTTCTACCACCAGGAAGAATACCACTAAGAGAAAGTAATGCTGTTGTTGGCGTTTGTTTAACAATAACCGCAGTATCTTGACCACCATTTATCGAAGAATGATGAAAAGTACCAATAAAATCATCAATTGAACCAGACGGTGAACCAGGTTCAAATACAAGTCCATCAAACACACCAATATTATTACAAACTGGACAATAATTAGTCGGATCATGTAAAATTAATTTACCTTGTAATTCGCTAATATATAATTTACAAGGTTCATAAACTAGTCGATTATTTGATTGATCGTAATCAAATTTAACACCATCATTACCAAATGCACATACATGACCACCATAAGGAATAACTAAATGTATGTTGACTAAAGCCCATGTTGAACTATGTTTGGTAATGACAAGCGTATCAATACCCTTTACATTGGCAGGTACATGAATTATTGCATTATGTTGAAATGAACCAATAAAAGTATCTATACCAGATTGACTAACAGGTTCATCTATAGTAGATTCAAGCAAAGTAAACTTAAATAATCTAATGATGATGAGAATGAAGTTTATCATTACCTATTTCAACCCAAACATGAACTTTTACAGGAGAAACTAATATTAATAAAATCAACAAAGTTAAGAAAAATGATGATAACATCATGAGGATATTGAAATAACAATATGATAAACTTAGAATGGTGAAGAATACCTTAATAATAACAATGATTGAGTTTTATTTGCTCGGTAGAATATTTGAAAGGCTTAGTTTGTAACAGATACATATTGTTATATTTTGTCATTTAATTTTACTTGTCTTTTTGTCTGATATACTTTTCATATTATTTTCAATCAAGTATGAGATTAAAAAAAGATAATATTTCATGAAAAAATAAAGAATAATTACTTTTGTTTTTTGTTGTAAGGATAAAAATTTCAAAGTACAAATTAAAAGTTTAATAATAGCTTTAAATTTTAGTTTACTTTTTGAAAATGTGAAACGTTGTTGATAAGTGCTAATTCTTAATGATAATGAATTTAAAAGATCATGTTTGAAATGATGAAACTCTATGTATGAAACAAAACTGAAAGTGAATGAAAATTTACAGAACAATATGTACTGCTCTAGATCTCACAAAGATGATGAATACTTGACTTTGTGCAATGCCTAAGTCCTATAAAATGTAGGAAAGCGACGGTGAAATCTTGGAAAGATTTTTCATGGAAACAATTTATAAGTAGACATATTAAAAAGAAGACAAAATATAAAGGAAATACATCGAGTTTATTTTTGATTTTTAAAAAAACATCAAACAACATTGTTGTTTCTTTTGAAATAATTGTATTAAATTTAAATCGTACGACATTTAACATATGTTTGAGAGTGTTTATTCTTGTTTTAAGAGCGATAAATAGTTTGCCAGTAATAACATGCATTAAATTATAATTAACTATCGTTCGACTTTCAAATCATTTCATCGTCATTAGACACAATGTAATATTCTCTGGAGTAATCCTATAAGTGAAACATTGTACTTGTCTCTTTATTTTTACCCAAATCTCTGGTAACGACTCAAGACATACGAATGGCATAGAAATATTGATGAAATAAGATATAAAATAAAAATAGAGTTCAACTTGATCAGTTGCTTCATATGATACATCACAAATATGAATGACAATAAGTGATAACATAGGAAGATTACATAGAAGAAATATAGCTGAACATGACATTATTTGTAAAATCATTTTTCGATATTTACTCCATTTCATATGTTGATGAAGATATTGTTTTTGTTTAATAACACGAATAATTAGTAAACTTCATGATCATAATTCGAGGAGTTGGTAAAAAGCAATTGACTAAAGTATCATATATCATAATATATTTCTGACTAAGATAAGATGGATAAGCATACCAGCTTTGTGTATAATCGAATACAACCAATTAAATTGAAACATAACATATGCTTGCTAATTGAAACCAAATATATCCTAGACGAATAAAATTAAGATAGATTGAAATGTCAAGAAGTAAAAAGAATAGTCCAACAATGAGAAGAACAATAACAGCATGATTGTTTAATGCATGTCGTAGTTTTTGATCAAATAAAAAATTGTAGAAAAGAAACAAAGAACAGATTATAGATGGTATTAAAATTAGGAGCATAATCCAAAAACAAACTATAGATGATGCAGATGTATATAATATTGTAACTGATGAAGATTCAGTATCGTTAATTTCAGTAATGATGATGATGCTATCATTTGATGTGACAGTAGCCATGATCATTTCAGAAAAAACAATAACCAAAATACAAATAAAAAAATATGGTGTTGTTTGAAATTATTATACTAGTGCATACTTCATTTACGATCTTTTCTAAAGTAGTGCAATTAAAGAAAGGTAATATTCTTGTCAACCAATCTAATTGTACATTGTGTATATGGCTGATGTTTTGACATTTCCTTGCTGTCTATCTTCATGGATTATAGAGAGTGCTCATTCATCATTAGCAATGTATGGAATAAAAATGAATTCGTTTTTTTTTTACTTGAATGAGAATTTTTCCTTAAGATCTCCAGGTAGTGGTATGATCAAGGGTGACTGAGATCCCACTAAGCAAAATGGCACTAGCTAAGCTTCTTCAAAAAATTTTTCACTGTTAAAAACATGATAGTATTAATAGTTAACAAATCGTTATGATCAAGATTTACTGATCTCACTGTTGTTTCAGATTGTGTCTAGTTTGTATAAAATAATTATGATCATCATCTTGAGATTTTTATTTAGCGGTGAATAAATCGTAGCAGAGAGAAGAAGGGTAATAAACGAGAGACAGATACATCAAATGACTTCTAACATTTACATTGACATTATTCTTCTCATATTTGAACGATGATAGAATTATGACAAAGATGTTCGAAATTGCAGGGAGACTGTTGCTTTATGAGAAAAAAAATTGTCATTCAAGTGGAAAAATTATAAGTACAAACAGAAATATCACAGAAGAGATGATTGTCTAAGAAAATAATAAAGAAAAAAGAAAACGAATAATTTGTCACGAAGATTGCTATAACCAATTAGAACACTAAATACTATTAGTTCCTTGTTTAAATTGATACTATATGGTATGACACGAAAAAGAGAAAAACAGAAATGAAGAATAGTATTCTTTCTATGCTAACATATTTGAATGTGTTTCATTTGAATATACATAGCTATTTTAATTAATCTATCAAAAAGAAAATAATACTTTTTTAGATGAATGCTTCAATGAACAGATATTAATAAATGATTTTGATGAAGGATAAATTGATCCTTCTCGAGACTAACATGTTAGAAAGAATGGTATGTAGATTCGCTATTAAGTTATTTTTACCACATCTGTTGAAGAGCATCAATAAAAGACTTCAGAAAAACCGACTTTAAAATTTTTTTGTATTTTAGTGTAGCGAAAGAACGCTTTCAACTAATTCATAAATTTTCATCGAAAACTAGTGGATGAAAGATTATCGAAGATGTGGATGTGAGTATAAATACTCGTCTTTTCGGCAATCATCCAGATCTACATCCACACCCTGAAGCACGTGAAAGTCTATCGTATTTCTTGTCTTTTTCTATTTCTGAAAGATATATAATTCTAGTATAACAGTAGAGACAAAAGACGAAATTATTGAGATGTTACATTTCAAGCAAACATTTCTTTTTCTGAAATACAAAAAAGATGAATCATTCGAGTTGTGATAAGATACGCATGATATCTTCTTCAATTTGAACAGGATCTGGATGTTGAGAGGAAAGTGATTGGCGAATAATGGCAGCTGCTTTTTGAAAATATTCCAATGCTTGGCTCAGTTCATCTTTGTCTTCGTGTACTAGACCTATGTTTCTGTAGGTGTTGGCAATCTGTGGATGGTCAGAAGGAAGTGATTTTAATCTGATATTAAGTGATCGATTGTAATGCTTCAACGCCAGATTATAATGGGCAAGACAATGATGAACGCTACCAGTGTTATTATGAGACACACCTATGTCAGGATGATTAGGAGGTAAGTGCTGTTCTCGAATAGTCAATGCCTTCTTATTGAAGTTTAATGCCTCTCTGTATTTCTCCTGCTTTTCGTAGGCAACAGCAATATTATTATAAAAGTGAGCCATCTTTAGATGATCTGTAACTTTTTCTTTTTCAAGGAGTTCTATTCCTTTATTGTACCATGAGAGTGCGATATTGTACTGGTTTTTCATCCGATAAACGTTTCCGATGACATTGTAACGCATACAGATTTTTCGATAATCTTCTGGAGCTGATTGTATTAACAGCTCTAATGATTTTTGTAAATATTCAAGACTTGAATCTAATTCTTTTTTGTCTTGAAGCACTAAACCGAGTGAATAATACAAACCCGGAAGTGAAAGATCATCGGGAGGGAGTTCATTGAGCAATCGACGATAAAACTTCTCGGCTGAATCAGATTTACCCATTCGACGAAGTACTCGACCAAAGTTAAGGAGAGTAGTTTCATCATCATCACCTCCATATTCTTTCTTCATACATTCAAACAGACTTTTCAAATCATGCTCATCATCACCACACAACGTCAGTCGAATTATCCAAAATTGGTCATTATTTCGACGAATATCTCTGAGACGGAAAATGGAACCAATCATAAAAAGAACTTCTGATTCATAGCCAGAGTCACTGTATGAACTTATGTTAGCAAACGGTCTAGTTACTCCCATACGAGGGTCAGCATCGATTTCAAATAATACTCGATGTAAATCATCCGATTTATCAGAACTTGCTAAGAATCCTATCGCCTGTTGACGACTGGTAGTAGTTGAGAAAAATGAATTAATAGAAATCAATTCACCGATTGATTTTCGCAGATTTTTCAGTTCATCGTTTGACAGAATTTGACCTCGATATACGCATATTGGTGATTGACATTGATGTCGTTCTAATTCTCGATGAATATCGCGTATGAAGAAACGAAAAAGAAATAATACATCGATATTTTGTACTCGTAAAGCTTTGTTGAGCATTTTATACAAGAACGACTCACGAGTATACCACCATAAAGCATTTTTCGACGAATAGTCTGCTTGGAATTCATGAAGAATATCTAGTTGAGTTTTGTTACCTTTGTATACATTTTTACAGAGTTCAATGAGTTCTTGTTTGTCTTTTTTAACAGGTTTCATTCGAAGAAGAACATCAATGAGTAACAAAGAATGTACAAAACTACCATTCAGTCCGGTTGTTGATTGATCTGGATTCTGATTGACCGTAGAAATATTAATAACTATCGGATCTTCCTCCTTCCCTCGGTTTTTCTGATCTGCTTTAATTCGACATATAAGATCGTCAAGCTGAATAGTCACAGCTTTTACCTACGAACAATAAAAAAACAAATTATTGTGCAAAAAATAATGAAGAAAGTGTGATACTTTTGCGAAGTTGTTTGCCCATTTTTCATTCCTTTGCTTATCCATACAATAAACATAAATAGATAATAGCTGTCGCATATGATGAATATGAGGTACTACTTCTTGACCTAATCTTCCGCTAACAATAAGAACAAGTCGATCATGTACAGGAATAGATTGAATGTATTGTTGGCATAGATTTGCATCTTCAAACGTTGTTACATGATTAATGGTAGAACGAATTTGTTGTTGTGCTTCTCGATTTTCTTCACTAGTATTGACTGCGGCATCGAGCCAAAAAAGAGCACATGTTTCCAGATTATTGTCATATATATTAGAATTATCATCGTATACAGCAGCCATAGCTATTTTTTATTACTAATTAGTAGGCTATACTTTTTATGAGTAAGTTTGATTTGTTACTTTATGAATTCTCTCAGTTTATCTTAGCAGAAAAAGAATGAAATACTTCACTTTTTTAAATAGTGTTTTTTGTGAGAGTGATTTTATTACATTCATTTTCGTCGACAGCTACAAGCCTTTTTTCCTTTACTTTCATGACTTCTACGAAAGTCTTTTTCGAAACATGATTCAGAAAATATTTTTCTTCCGAGCTACTTGAAAACATTTTCTTTTAATGAATCATATTGTTTTTTGATACGTTAAAAAAGTTGAAAAAAAGTGATGACGAATTTCAATTAATTCGATTGTTTTGTTCCGTCACTACAGGTCATGAAGAAACTAGACATTTTACAATCTTATATACAAAAACAAGCCAACATGACTTTTTCCGTTTTCAAGCTGTGAAAAATAATTAAATTCAATTGATTGTAGAAGTTGAAGTAATGCATACCTCTTACGACTTGATGAAATTTAGCTTTTTGAAATCTAATTGCTTTGATTAGAAAATAGGATGTACGTGAGCATAGGTCAATATTTCATCCACATCACAAAGACTCACACTTTTCTTTCGATATTTTTTGCGCATATTTTAATTCGTATTCATCCATCATATAGTGAGAAACGATTATGTCTCATACATATTTTATTCATATGTTTTAGAATCTACATAAGAATAAATTACTCCGATTTACAATTTTTTTTTATTATAAAATTCCAAAAAAAAACAAAAGAACTTATACACCATTAGTATGAACACCTTCAACTTGTTCAAGATCTTCAAACATATTAATAATTTGTTTTAATAGAATTTTATCACGTTCATTTAATGGTACAGTTACTTTAGGTATAAATTCCGAACCATCAGATGTTACTGTATAACCATGTTGAGTTAAATTAATTTTCATTTGTCCATAAAATGTTGGTGGACCAAGAAACTATTCAAATACAAAAAAAAGAAAAACATCCGTTAAGTTTGATTTTTGTTTTTTCAAATAAAACATCAACATACTTTCCATACTTCTCGTTCACCATCATCATCAATTGCTGAAATAACTTCTTCGGCATTAATTTCAATAGCTAATTCAATAGCTTTTTCTTCATTTATATTTGATTTTTCAATACATGCATAACCACGTTGATCAAAATATTCAGCAATTTGTCCACTTTTAGCTATTTCAGGAATACTTTAATATATAAAAAAAAACAAAAAACAACATAAAGTTGAAAATTTAATTAATAAATTATACCCAATTTTAGCTGCATTTTTATTTAAATAATTAAATGCACGTTTCGGATTATCAGTCATAACTTCAATAAGACATAAAGCTCGACCAGGACCAATAAATTCAAAAATAACTTGTTTCATATTATCTTTTTGAGCAATCTATATATATTTAATAAATTTTATTAATATTATGATAATAAAATTAAAAATTTACAGCTCGTTTAATTGCTCGATCAATTGTTTCTTTTGACATATTATTTTTACGACATTCTTCTAATGTTGCACGTAATACAGTATTATATTGTGGATCCGAGACATTACCATTCTCTTAAATATAATCAATAGTGTTATTCAATTAAGATTGTAAAATTTTATTCTCAAAAAAAACTTCTATTAATAATTTTTATTTTCAATGTAAAACTACATTTAGTGCTAAGTCTTGCTTGAATTTTTCAAAAAAACAACTATATGTTTAATTCATGCATTAAATTCTATAGATTTAGTCTGTTTTTTATTTGAAAGTACATCTCAGATGGCAGTGTCCTTGTTTTTCTAAATTCTTATTTTTTTTTTTTTTTTGAAGCAGAGAAAAACATCTGAGTCTATGTTTGGGTTTTTCCTTCTATCTACATCCACAATTGGAAGAGATTACAATATATATTTAGTACTTTTAGTATCATAAATTTTCTCGATCTAAGATACTATGACAGTTGTATTAAAATTTTATGAATTAGCAAAACTAGACACATCTCTTTTTGTTTTTTATCTAATATTTCAATACTTACGTCGAATAGCTGTCACAATTTTACTAGATAATTTTCCAATCACACGTGATTTTATTTGATCATTAGCAGCTTTAGTTTTTGCAATATTTTGCCAATGAGCATGTCCAGCATATCGTCGAGTATCATCTATACATACATATAATGAAATTCATTTTTGTATGTGTTGATGAAAATTATGTCATAGATTCTTTTTTTAGTTTTTTTACATACAGTAGATTGATTCTACTGGTAGTAAGGAGCTAGATGTTATACAAGTTAATCTTGATGTTAATGAATAATATCGAACTAAATTTGATATACTCATTGAAATGAAATATCTGAAAGAATGAATAAATAATTCTGCATATATTTTGGGGAACAAAAGAAAAAAGAACTGTTAAACATATCAAATTTTGGTTAGATTATACGCCATAGTAACAACAAACAATTGTAACGAATATCAGAGAAAAATTAAGGTATAACTAATGGTTTTAAGAAAGAGTACAGATCATAGAAAAGCATTTTTTGTGTATATGTGTGCACAGTGAGAAAAAAGAAGAAAGTATGTATGATAATAAAATCAGATATATAATGTGTTCAATTTTTCTTGCTGTTTTTTAATGGAATGAAAAAAAGAAAAATAATATCAAACACAGATAACAACACATGCGCAATCAAAGATCATTTATATAGCGAGAAATAGAATATAAGAATGTTAATGTCATCAAGATCATTAATATATAATTGCTGTTTTTTTTTAAATTATTTTCCACTTGTTTGTTGTTGTTTTAATTGAAGTAAAACACTTCTATAACGTGTTAAATCTTTTTGTGAACGATTATTTTTTGGATTAAATTCACATAAACTTGTTATTTTATCCCAATCATTAACTTTACCATTTGTTGTATTACGATTATTAAAAATATCATCTTCTAATGTACGATTATGTGAACGATTTTGTCCTTTTGTACGTTCTAATTGTTCAGTACGTTGTTTATAAAAATCATCTAATTCTTTTTTAGCTTGTTCACGCATTTCTTGACGTTTTATTTCTTCTTCTGTATCTTTTTTATTAATACGTGCTAAAAATTCTTCTCTCCATTTTCGTATTTTTTCTGGTTCATTCAATTGTTCACTAAAATCTGATAATGTTTGATATGGTGAATCACGTGATGGTATTGGAGAATAACTTCCTCCACTAATATTTATCATTGGTGAATGTGTACCTAAATTATTATTAATTCATTAAAAATACAAAAAAATAATAATAATTCTTATTACCATTTGTAAGAAGATTATTTGTATTTGATCTTGTATCAAATGAATCATTAAATAAATTAGCATCTGTATCACCTGTTATTTCAGCTAATTCACGTTTTTCACGTTCAAGAAATTCAGCAGCTGGATCTTCATCATGAAAATTATAGAAATTATTTGATGTATCTTCATCAAGATTAGGAACACCAGTATTAAATGGATCGTTATAAGCCATAGGATGATTATAGAGAAAAGAATAATCTTTAAAAAGAAGAATATAGAGATTTATACCTTTTCAATGACGTTCTTTGTATAACTTTATTTTCTTTGTTTTTCTTAATATTATTTATTTGTTTTGTTTATTTGCTCATGCATTTTCTCGATCAATCGATGTTAAAATACAAAAAAAAAATAAATGTTAACCAATCAAATAAAAATAATTTTAGATGTCACTAAATACTAGAAAATGTTTTATATTGTTTTTTTTTAAGAAGAAAATGAAATTATAGTGTTAATTAAATTATATAGAATTTTAGAGATAATTTTAAAATAATAATTGATTAAATTAATTGTTTTTAAACTTTAGTAATTCGATTTTTTTGTTGTTGTTATCTTTTAGATCATATTTATGCTATTTTGATTTAAATTATTTTCAAATATAAAATCATAAATTACTATAGAATAATAATTCCGCTTGAAGATCATATTTCAAAACAATCACGACTGATAAAGGTTTAAAAACTATAATGAATCATTTTCTTTTGCTCTCGAATAATGAAAAAATGTCACACTAATTTGTAATTAATCTTTCTATATAAACGTTTTTACAAGAGCTACCAGGGATATAAGGCCGAAGGCTAATGGGCTATAAAAATATGTGCGATGTAAGTATATGAGACCGTAGAGCTACCTATCCGTATACATAAGATCGAGTGTCTGTATGTCCGTTACCGGATGAAAAGTTAAACGTCCGTCGTCATACGTTAGAGGAAAAACAAACAGCCGTGCAGTATGCACAGGCTCTCGCTAGTATTAAAGTGTTTCTAACAATGCAGGTACATTATCAGAATATCGCTGATAGCTTCAATCATCTAAATGATGGATTGAAATATCAACTTCATAATTCTTATAAATCACTAGGAGTTTACGAATTTTTACTTTTCAGTTTATAGACATTTGCTGAAATGTAAGAGAAATTAAATACTATGAGTTATTAGAATCAATCATAATAAGATGATTTTCAATATACGTCTTTTCAGAATGAATCAATCTTCACATACATTAAATTTATATAAAATAATAATTTACTATTTCTATCATGACTTAATAGTTTCTTAGAAGACAAAAGTTTATTTTAATGATGATTTATCAAAAAAAAAATTCAAAAATTAAGAAAACAAAAGATCTAATGAAAGTCCTTCCATAACCAAAGTCTTTTTTTTTTGTGTGATACCCATATGAATTTAATTTTTTAGCTAAGCCCATATCAAGCACCTGCTAAATAAATATTTTGCAAAGTAAACTTTCTAAATTTGCTGTCGAAGATAATTCTACAAGAACAACTATATTATTGTTTTATTAATTGAATAAATTTTTTCAATGTTGATCATAGTTTTAATTGAATAATTGTATCCATATAAGTTCATAGCTGGTCTAAGTAAAAAAAAAAAACAAAACAAAAGAAACTCTTTACCATCTAAACATAATTTAAGCTGAAGTAACAATTCTATTAATAGAAATCTTTTCTTATAAAATTAACCGTCAAAAACAAAAAAAAAAGATAAAAATAAAAATTTTGTATGTCTATTGCTTCTCTTGTCGTTTAGTTGATTCATCTTCACCGATTCCATATTTATTTGGATCATCAGGTTTATTTTCAAGACCTTTATAAAATTTCTTTTCAGCATCAGGATCTGTTTCACATCCTTTAAAATAATTTTCTTCACCAACAAAACATATCTAAATTAAATAAATAATTAAAATATTTGTTTTTTATTTTTTTGTCATTCATTAGAATTTTCAAATATAGATATATTTAACAATTATCAAGTCTTATTAGAAAAAAAAAAACATTGAACAAGACTATAATCAAAAATATGTAAATCTGTTATTGATTTTATATTGAAAATACTAAAATTCATTTTAACACTCATGAATTTTTGAAGTGTTATAAAATTTGATTTTTTTATCTTAATCTTCATATGCAAACACTTCGATATCAGTTATCATCATAAACTAAGACATTCTCGATTACTTAAATGAAAAATTTACATATCTTTATTTAGAACTTTTTATATCTTCATTTTGTTGAATGAATACAAAGAATTAATTGTTTGTTTAATTCTCAAAAATTAAAATTACATATATAAGAAGACTTTTTTACACATCTTAACATTCGAGTACTGCATCTCGTTTTGATAACAAAATATTTATAAAAAAAAAAACAAAGCGCAAAAGAACATCTCTTTATCATCGAAATGTCGTTTAGAAAAAAAAAAAAATGAATAAATAATTTTATAAATCTTACTTCATGTCCATCAGGATCTGATAAAATAACAATTTTTTCTTTATTCAAATCTAATAATTCACCTAATTCCATAGCTGATATAAGTATATCATATCCTTCTTTTTCTATCATATCTTGTATTGGTTCAATATCATTTGTTGGACAAGAAAATGCTTTTCGACCATAACCAGTACCACGATCAATAGTTTGTTGTAATTCAATTAATTCAAGTTGACATTGATTATCAATAAGAAAACCAGATTTTGTTTTAACTTGTGTTTGTTGTTTTGTTTTTAAACCATAATAAAGTTTAACATGTTTATCATTTGATTCATTTTTATTTATTTTCATTTTTAATAAACGTGTATAATAATCAATAGATTTTTTTAAATTTGATACATTTAATGATAAACATTGAATAGGATCATTACCTTGATGAACATCTTCATCAATTAATATAATACGATGACCATCTGGTGAATGTATTATTATTGATTGTTGATTATCTATTTCAATAAATTTTTTATCAAGATTTTGACGTACATTTAAAATAGCTTGTCGATTATATATTGTAATAGATGAAAAATCATTACCATAATTATAACCTTGTACATCATAATTATAATTTAATTCAAAAACAAAAAATGAATTTTCAGAACCATAACCAACCATTGTTTTTGACCATGGAGAATCAAAATCACCATTACATCGTGCTGAACAACCACTATCCATTTCTTCATGACGTAAAATTTTCATACCTAAGATATTACAAAAAAAATTTTTTGCTGCTAAACGATCAGTTATTTTCATTGTATAATGAAGTAAACGTCTATCATCAGATGTAGATTCTTGAAGAGATGTTCCACTTGACATTGTTGGATTTTGGTTTTTTTTTTGTTATTTCAGAAAATGTGATAAGAGAGAATCACAGGTGAAAGTGTGATACTAGGAAAGGAATTTATGGTTGGTCAAAAGAAGAACTAATCAGTTAACAGGAATCTTGAAAACACATTATTGAAATTTTAATTTTATAGAGTAAAATAAGACAGTTTTTATTTTACATTTTAAAAGATATTGATTGTCTATCTTGTTTAAATTATATATGTAGCAAATAAATAGTTAAATTTAAAAAGTTCGTTGACAGTGCAATATTTATATTGATGTGTTCTGAACGATTGAAAGAACATTCTTTCAGGTATAGCGATAAAATTGCATAATTACAAGCCTTTATAAAGTAATCGAAATTTTTATATGCTTTAATGTATTTTTTCTACCTGTTTAGTACATAAATAGAAGGTAAAAATTTTTTACTGTTTCTTTTTTTTATAATTTTAACAAAAAATAGTTCTGTTTTTATACTTGTTTCTTTATAAGAATTAGTAATGAAGATCTTTCTGTTTAGGCTACGTTGAATAAGACTCGACTTGTTTTTTTCTTTACGTGTTCTGAGGTATAAAGTCCAATCACTATTGTTACTGTGCGAAAATTAAATAGATGTTTGCTTCAATTCGAAAGTTATGTAAATAAATAAAAAATTCATGTAGTTTTTTAATATATATATATAGATAGATCTTCTATAATGATTTAGATAGATGATGCTCGTTGCTTTAGAGTAAAAAATTTATTAATTTTAAGTACTATATATCACTCTATATCAGAGCACGAACGTTTCAAATGTAGATAAAAGTATAAAATATGTATAAATAGATGAAAAGAAGATTTATTTTCGAAAATCTAAATCATTATAACATAATTAATATATATTATGTATAAGAAGGATACATAAATATTGGTGTATAAAAAAAATTTGGTTGAATATCTTCTATTTGTCTATATGTTGTTATTGTTTTTGTAACTGGTGGATAATTAACAATAAGATATGGTGTTGTTAATTGTAATGGAGTTTGTATAAACGTATTCACTTGTGGTTGTTGTTGTTGTTGTTGGTAAGATATATAATGTTGATGATTTTGTATTTGTTGTAAAGTTTGTTGTTCGATTGCTTCTAATTGTTGTTGTGTTAACCATGTAAATTGATCAAATACAGATGATCTTTGATATTCTATATTATGAGAAGAATTTGGTTGTTCACTATAAATTGTATTAGATAAATGAGATGATGAGGTTGAATTAAAATCAATAGTATGATAATGTTGTTGATTAATAGTTAAACCACCTGGTTGAAATTCTGAAATTACAGGAGCTTCAATTATACGTTCATAAATAACTTCTCGTGGTGGTGGTGGTTTATATGGTAACCATTTTTCAATAATAATTGATTGAGGTTTTGGTGGTAACTAGAAAAGAGATTTGTCAAAATTGAACTAAAAACGTTTTTTTAAGAAAATCTCTATGAGATTAATCCTTAAGAGCCGAAGTGGCTTCCGCTTATAAAAATGAGAATCTAATTAGAAAAACAGAGATTATCGACCCTCAGTATACTCGTACTACAGTTAAAAATAATTACCTTCTTCTTATTCTGGACCTACGCAACCTCCTTTGGCAGGAATATCCATCTCTGTAAAAATTCGAAAAAATAGGAATTTCGATCTGAAACTTTGCCTTTAGATAGTTTTGATAATACTTAATAAGCTCCGATATTTTCACTTAGAATGGATGCTTTCCTGCTGAGATATTCAAAATCCAAAAACCAGCTAAATTTTGCTAAAAACTTCAACATTCTGTATCTCGCGAAAGAAACAACAGTTGTTCCTGAAAATTTTGAAACTTCCTAAACACTACTAGGGCTATGTATGGGCCAAATTTCATTTTAGAAATACATTGTTTTGATTCTTCTATGAGGCTGAATGTCTCACCGAAGGAATTTTTTATTGATCACGACACAATCTGTTAGTAGATCGGTTAAAAGATTCTAGAACGCTGACATTGAATAGCTTGGTGTTAGGCTTAAGAGTGTAATGTAAAATAAACTACACTGTATGTCGCATCTCCGAATAGATATAACTGTAGGGAAGAAAGGTGTTATTGGAAAAAGTCATCAGATCAAAAAGGTGTTTTGCTACGCCTACCTGAATACTACATTTTGGTCTAGGTATGGCCTCGAAAGTCATATCAATCCAGAAAAATATTGGTTTTTGTCTACAACATTTTTATAAGACTTTGATTATAATTATTTAAATGTCCCTTGGAAGGGACATTCGGCTCTTAAGGATTAATTATATGTGAAACTCTCAATGTTGCTAATCATAGGAAGTACGAAAGTTCAACCGAAAGGGAAATGTTCTTCTTAAGATATTAGATATGTGCACAAAAAAATCATAAGCGACAAGAAAAAGTTCAGCATATTATCTATAGATCTTGTTTCATACAAATAGAAATTGTCTATACCGGTGCATTACGTTCAAAGATAATACGTTGTGATGATGATGGTTCTTGTGGTAGAACTTTAGTTATAACTTTAGTTTCTTCATAAGGTGGTGGTGTTGGTGGAGCTTCACGAAAAATATATGGAGATGGTGTAGTAGGTTCTATGTTCTCATGATTAACGATTAATGGTGATGGTGATGGTGGAGGTGGAGGAATAATTTCTAAAAGTTCGAATTAGATTAATGATATATATATATATTAAACGAAAAATATGTACCTCGAATAATTAATGGTCCAGATGGAGGAGGTGTTGGCGGAATAAGATAACGAACAGAAATTTTTTGTTTATAAGTTATTTCATCTGAATTTGATTTTTGTATAATTTTTGGATTTGAATCATTATTTAATTCTGGATGATTATGAATAAATTCTTCATATTCATTATCATTAATTGTTTGTTGAGATGAATATGATGATAATGATCGATGTGCCATAGTTGATGATATTTCTCTAGTTGGATAATATTCACGTATAGTTATTTGTTGTTTACATTTTAAATTATCAATTGTTTTTAATGTTTGATCAGAAAATGAATTTATTTCATTCGTTGATGAACTTTGACTTAATATTGAATTTGTTGTATCAATATCATCGATACCATAGATTTGTTCAATTTGTGTTTTTAAAAATTTTTCATCAATTTGTTTAGGTATGAAATTTATTGAGACAGGTGAAGGAATAATTATATTTGATTGACTATCATTCGATTCTTCAATCGTTTCTTTATTCATATCAATTATTGGTTTATATTGAATCATTGATGTAGAACATTGATATTTTACTGGATGCCATGTATTAAAAGCTGATTCATGAGTTTCATCAAGTTGTAATCTTGTATTTGAAAATACATTATTAGTATTATTAAAAGAAGAATGTATATACGGTAATTTAGGATTATAACCAATATCTTCAACAATTTTTGTTAAATTACATATAGATTCATTTATATTTTCGGATGAATCTTGATAATTTTCATCAATTAATTCATTCGAATGATTATAATAAGATGAAGAAAGTTCTATTTCAATACGATTAGCTCGATATATATAATCAGTTGAATGAATTTGCTAGAACAATATTAAATGTTTAATTTTTATTAAAAATTAAAAATATAGTTTTCAAAAAAAAGAAACTGATGGATAAAAATTTTAAACTGATTTAACTTTAGAATATTGATGTATTTATTTCAGATTAGAAGCAAATCAGCAGACTTGAAGTTTTCATAATAAATTATTGTTATTAAAACTTCTTGTTATATACAAAGTTTCAAGTCCAAATTCGAAAAACATTTTTTTTTCTATTATCATGACATTCATTTAAAAATTATCATGATAATTTAATATCTCCGCAACAATGAGCTAAGAAAGCTCTGATTGATCAATTAAGTTCTCGATGTCCTTGAATAGAGCATCTCATCAATTTGTAGGCTAGTTTATAAAAAAAACAATCATTTATCTCATTTTGACCTTGATGTTAATTATTCAATTGAATATTGTTTCACTATTTCAACAATATAGATGACTATATTTATTCAAAAACCTATTCTATACTCTAGAACTAGAGTATCTAGAATAACTTGACATATACAGTGACTACCAAAATTGATCAACAAGGTTTATTTTTAATTTTTTCCGCTAACCTAAATGCTAAAAATAATCCAAATAGTGATTTCAATAGAGAAAAATGTCGCCGACAAGAATTTGAGAAAATCATAATCTTTACTAATTTTCCTAAAATAGGGTTTCTAGAAAATCAAAACCTTCGTTTTTCAGCACTCAGAAGCTGCGAAAAAAAAACTATTTTAACAACCTAGAATGATAGAGCAGTCAATTCTCTACAAAATGAGACGTCTCCGAGCTTTCTACGACATTCCCTTCAAAAGTTATAGGCATCACAAAAATTGAAAAAATGCGTTTTTCAGTCGATTTTTAGCGATTTTCTGACAAATTTCACGTTTTTTCAATTTTTATGATGCTTATAACTTTTGAAGGGAATGTCGTAGAAAGCTCGGAGACGTCTCATTTTGTAGAGAATTGACTGCTCTATCATTCTAGGTTGTTAAAATAGTTTTTTTTTTCGCAGCTTCTGAGTGCTGAAAAACGAAGGTTTTGGTTTTCTAGAAACCCTATTTTAGGAAAATTAGTAAAGATTATGATTTTCTCAAATTCTTGTCGGCGACATTTTTCTCCATCGAAATCACTATTTGGATTGTTTTTAGCATTTAGGGTAGCGGAAAAAAATTGAAAATAAACCCTGTTGATCAATTTTGGTACTCACTGTATATATATTGCGTAAAAAAAATTTCCTCGCTCGAAATATACATGTTTTTATTTTGTGAAATCATATCTTTAACGAATATTTTTACTCATATATGTAATTAATGAAATTTTAATAAGAGTTTGTTATAATAAATAATATTAACATACGCTATTTAATTGTTTTTCATCATTTTGATTTTGTAAAATATTTTGAATCATTGTAAAATTTTTATACAATGGTTCATCATCAAACATATTTGTATTTGAATAAAAAATTTCATTTCTTTCTACAAGACTTTCATCATCATGAATTGTAGTTGCCATTAAATTATACCTTGCATGAATATGTTATATTGATATGTAAAGCAACACATGAATGATTTTTTTTTTTCTTTTTCTTATAATTATCAAAAAGAAGGCAATTAGACATGTTGTGTCCTTTATTCTTTCTTTTTTTTTATGAGCAATATACTAAATAAACAGGTTCTCTTGTGTATTTAGCAATACATTTGAAGGTCAAATTTCTCGTTTTTTCTTTTATTGATATTTAGATATGAGTAAATTGAATGATTCAATTGAACCAATAATAGTAGAACAATATCCATCATCTATTCGTAATTTTTCATCTCAATATGGATCAAATAGTTCTGGAAGTTATGCTGTTAGAAATATATGTAAACATCCAGAAATCTATCCTTTATATGGAGATTCAACTCGAGCATTAGTTTTTCGTACATATGGTCCATGGTGGATAAATATGCCATCATATAAAGAAATGAAAAAAAATTTTAAACGTTGGGAAAATAAATTTACAAGTCGAGATTTTATTGATATTGTATATTCAAATTTAGTTTATTCATGTACAAGTATAAATATATATGAAACATATAATCCTGGTACACTTGAAGTTGTTTATGTTGGAAAAGAAGATAATAATGGAAATATAACATGGCATAGAGTATGGAAATTTCCTGAACCATTTAGTATTATTTTAAGAGATAATAGAGAAATTTTAATTAATAATGGTAAAAATTTTTATTTTTATATTCATAGCATGAATGATTAAGATATCTCATTCTTTATTATAAAATTTAGTTAAAAGAGAATTATAGCGAAGTAAGATTGTATAAATTGAAAAAAAATCAATATAATACATTAGCTTCGAGTTAGTCTTTATAATACTCATAATTAAGGTAACGCTATACCAGTGTTACCATGAATAACATTGTTCAATACATATACTGTGTAATCAGACATAGAAGGACCTCGAACATATCATCAATAACTGTATTTGCCTCTGATCAGTTGTTCGATAGCATGCGGATTACCTTATGATATGCACCTATACTTTCAGCTAGTATATGCGTATGAGATCAAGCAAATAAGTTCTTCGTTAGGCCGATCTTTTGTCCAAAACGAAAGTTAGTATTAGTCGCAGCGAAGGTAACATCAAATGGTCGAAAGGTAAGAGTAGGCTTCCTTCCTTCCTTACTAGTTAAATAAATAAAGTGAAAAGTCATTCAGCAAATTCTTGAAACATATAGGCGGGGATATGGAAGCATCCTTAAATTTGAGTTTAGATATTTTTGAATATCATTAACTTTTTTGTTTTTTTAGAAAGCCTACTGCCCTTCAGTTTTTGGGTCATTTACCTGATTGTTTATATATGTACCGCAGCCAACTGTGAAAGTCTTTCACTTGATTTACTTCTACTCCCTAGTATTATTAATTAAGTAAAAATAATGGCATTGAAGACCAAACTTAAACTCACAAGTTCCGGTTCAGTACAAGTTTATTTTTAGTAATAGTATTTTTTTTCATAATTGATTATGTTTATCTCAAGGTTTGAAAAGCAGACCTTCTACCAACCGAAAATAATGCATTGATGATATGAGATCAATTCATTAATTCATAATCAATGTCATTGATATCGAATCTATAATTAGCATGTGTATACATTCGATTTTCAAATATCCAATTTTTTCAGTATTTATTAATAAATTCATAGTCGAAAAAAAAAATCAATCTAATCATTATCATAAATTTCTAACAAAATTATGATAAAGATACAAAACAATCTTACAAAAGTTCATAAAGTTCTTGTTTTTAAAAAAGCAATTCTTTGACATGAAAGAATATTCTAGGTCGTCAACAAATGAATGATTTATTTCCGAATCATATTAATACTACAACATCAGCACTTCAATCATTACATTTAAATACTGATCATGAACAAATATCAAAAATTTATACTCATCATACATATCCACCAGCAGCATATTTTCCACGTATTCTTAAAATTCCTTTAATAAATAAAATTTCATTTCCAACACAACATATTCGTCTAGAATTTGATCATTGTACAGCAAATTATTATATAGAAATTGATACAATTTCATTATCTGGTCAAATTTTAAATATAAATCAATCTTTACCAAAAGTTAGTAAATTAGTTTAAAATAATTATAAAACAAAAAAAAGCAAATTTATTCTTTTGTTTTTTTTTTTGTTCAGGAAATTATTTCCAAACAAGATGAATATATTGAATTAAATTTTGAAAATCATTTAATAAAACTTCCTTTTGATATACTTTTTCTTATTTGTTCTTATCTTGATTTATATTCATTAATACAATTTTCATCAACATGTCATTATTTACGTCAACAATGTCTTCATCCATTACAATTTCATTCACTTAATTTACAACCATATTGGAATGGTATAACAAATGAAACAATAGAAAATTTTTTTCTTAAATATTGTATTCAAACACAATATCTTTCATTATCATGGACAAAATCAATAGAATATTTATCATTTTATAAATTATTAAATATATGTTCAAATAAACTTATACAACTTAATCTTTCTTGTTGTCAATATTTAACAGGAGAATATATTAAAATAATTGCTAATTATTGTTTTAATCTTGAAATATTAAATTTAGAAAATTGTTCACATTTAATTAATTTTGATTTTATACCATTAAAAAATCTTCATCATATTCGTTCATTAAATGTTTATCAAACTAAAATTGATTATCGAACTTTATTACCATTAATTGATAATAATAAAGAACATTTAGAACATATCAATTTAGGTAAGATTATTAAAAAAAACAAAAACAAAATATAACTTTTTAAATAAATTCAATCTAATTCAGAGATTAAATTTTAAGCAAATATCAATAAGTTATATGAATTTTTACAATGTCTTTTTTTGTTTAATTTCTTGTTGCAATTTTCGTCAGAGACATTAGAAAAATTGAATTACGAATTGAGCCTTCGTACAAAGAATGAACTTTAACATTAGAATTGTTTTGTGTTTCGATTTTGAAGTAAGAACATCGAGTCTGTTGGTCTATCTGAGCGGTGTAAATAATACGCTTTTATCATAATTGCATCTTACGAGGGAACATTCCCAAGTGATACCCGCCGTTTCAGCTCATATTGTGCCCAAAAGTAGATCTCGGTAAGACTAGAGAAAGTCTAAAAGGGTTCGTGCCATTGCGTCCTTGAAGCCGAGTTATGCCTAATTTACTGAATTTTCGGCCCTTTTTTGGGTACTGATCGAAAAATCAAATTACGAAGTTTCCATCTGAAATTTCTAACACAGATAGATATAGTTACACCTAGAATATCCTGGAAGTTTCAGCCGAATAGAATGTTCCTATGTGGAGATATTGGATCTCCAAAAAATAGTCATTTGCGACAGATATTTCACAAAAGTCGAGTTTAATTGAAAATGCAATAACTCGACAAAGGAACATTCTATTCGGCTGAAACTTGCAGGATATTCTAGGCGTAACTATATCTATCTATGTTAGAAATTTCAGATGGAAGCTTCGTAATTTGATTTTTCGATCAGTACCCTAAAAAGGGCCGAAAATTCAGTAAATTAGGCATAACTCGGCTCCAAAGGCGCAATGGCACGAACCCTTTTAGATTTTCTCTAGTCTTACCGAGATCTACTTTTGGGTACAATATGAGCTGAAACGGCGGGTATCACTTGGGAATGTTCCCTCGTTAGGATTTGTTAAATATTTTTTTTTCGAAGCCACGACATTATACTAAAAAACTACAGTAAAATTTCTAAGAAAATAAATTTTTTTTTAATTATAGCTTATTAAGGTCTATATAGTGCACATAGTCACCAATTAATAAACAATTGAGCAGCTGGAGAGTATTCTGCGTCAGTTGTCTAATTTTCTTTTAAGAGGATACTGCAACTTCTGACATTCTTACAGTTTGTTTTTTTTCTTGAGTGTAGTTGAAGAGAAATTCTACACTCATATTCATACTCGAAATTCTATTATTTGATTGTTCAGAAAACATATAACAATAACTTAAAAAGTCAACATAACCCGGCCATGTTTTGACTTTCTTTGTTATAGCTTACAAGTATATAAGTGCTCAATAATTGAAAAAAAAAAGGGAATTTTCAAATTGTATAATCAATACTAGAATATTATAACAATAGTTTCGATAGCATTAAAGATTGACTATTAGTTCTTTTCCGGTTCCATACTATGAAATAGACTAAATAAAGAGTTCTTTACATTATTTTACACATTCACATACTCTTTTGTTATCTTCAATAGTCAATGAATCCTACTGTGAATATGAACATTTATAGTTAATACAATATTTTTAATAAAGAATATTTGTCAAATTTTGAATCACTTAGAAAAAAATTCTTATCACGACATATATCAATATGATTTTAATAAACAGTTTCTTCTTAATAACTTCTATATACAATTCAGATATGAAATGATATAAAGTATGCATTTGATTATGAAATAAAAATCTCTTATTTCTAAGATATGAATATTTCAAATTTTATATTAGTTCTCCTTTTTTTACTAATTTCTATGTTTTAAAATAGTTTCTCAAAATAAATAAGAAATATTTTTCTTTCAGGTAGTTGTCAACAATTAATTGATACTGTTGGTATAGTTAAATTATTATTTGCTCGTTGTTCTAATCTTCGTTCCATTGATCTTTGGCGTGTATCTATTTTAACATCAAATTGTTATTCATCAATTGTTGGTTTATCACATGATATTGAAAATGAAGAATTACGAATTGCAAATTTACCAATACATGAACAAGAAGAATTAATAATTATTTATTCTCTTATTAATCTACCAGTTGAAATAAATTCTATTACACATATGATTTATTTAAGTGAAATTGATATTGGATGGACTGATCCACCAGGAGGTTTTATAACAAATTTTGTTCGACAAGCTGGTCGTCGTTTAATAAAAATATTTCTAACTGCTTGTAGACGTAAGTAAAAAAAAACACAAAAAAAAAAACTCTCTTGATATCATCAGTTAATTTTTTTTTTACATTATTTATTCAGTTATAGAAAAAACAAAAAAAAAATAGTTTAATAAAATATTTGTTTACCATTACAAAACGATGATATAGTAATAATAACTAAATTATTCTATACATTGTGTTCATATAAAAACGAAGATCAAATTCAATTTCCGATATATGATTCAACAGAACATTCTTTGGACTATTAAAAAAAAAAATCATCAATGGAAGTGTTTTCTTCTAACATTAAAGAAATTAATAGACATGAAAAAATAATATGTTACTGTTCATTGAGTAAAATACAAACTTTTATAGTTTAGACCAGGCTTTCCGATTAGGGAGGGGAGGAGGCTATCCCCCAAAAATTGTCTGCCAATTTTTTACGGTTACTGGGAGAAATGACCGATTGTATGAAAGCCCGAGGAGAGGGGGGGTACGGTACGACCTACTGAAAACTGATGTCGTTTCTTCCTTTTTTTTTAATAAACAAGATATTTTTGAGTAGAAAATTTACTTTTATATCATCGATGAAGAATTATTTTATTTCTAAATTAGGTATAAGTAATGAAGATATAATTGCTATAAGTGAAAATTGTCTTCAATTACGTCAACTTGATATACTTGGTTCAAATATTATAGGAGAAGAATCTATTGAATGTATACTTAAATGTTGTTTACAATTAGAATTTCTTGATATATCATTTTGTTCACATATTTCTGATGAAAAAATTTCAATATGGATAACTCAATATAAAAATTGTTTTAAACGAAGTTATCAACCAATTAATAATGATGATATTTATGCTGAATTTCCATAATATTTTTTATAATTTAGATTTTTATAAATAAAAATATTACTTTTATTATTAAATAAAAAATACATAATCGGAAATAATTTATGAATATTGGATCTCAATGACAACAACATCATATTGATCTATTAATAATAGATCACTTTTTTTGTTTCTGTATATCGTTTACTTTTTTTTTATATCGTGTAAATCGCAACTCAGCTTTTTTTGTTTGTTCTATTCTTGTGATTAAATATAACATTGAACTAGACAGTATTACTAGTACCTTCATTTTCTTTTGTTCCATTTGCTGATAATAATAAAAAAAAAAGCCGGAAAAGGAAAGAACTTGTGATCCGTTATTGAGAACAAAAAATAAAACCACAACACAAAAAAAGGAAATTCTGTCTGGTTTTTCCTGTCATTAAAATATTTGATAAATCAATTCTATTCGATGAAGAACAAAAATCAATGTCAAATAATTTTTATTATATAGAATGTTTTTTTTTTTGTTTTAGTCAATATGTTTAACATGATATATTTGTTCAAGATATTGTGCTCGTTCTTTATAAATATAGGCTTTTATTTCATCATTAATGTCAACTGTAGTTAGAGCTTGTTCAAGATAATGGACTGATATTTGTTGTAGAACGGAAATAACTAAGACAAGAAAATAATCATCAATAAAACAAAACATTTTAATTGAATTCAGTTACTTGCTTGTATTGGATGCATATTATCGTCATAATAGTATGTTTTTAACCATCGACATAGATTGATTATTATATGAAAAGCATCAACACATGTTCGATTATGAAATTCACTATAGATATATTATATAAATAAGTTTGTTTGTTTATTTTTATAGATTAAAAAATTGTGCTTGAAAGAAAATTAGATAAATATTTATTTTTATCAAAAAAAAAAAAAATGATAAGTAATTTAAAAAATAAATAATTTGAAATGAATAGTTCTACTCTACTGATTACTGATTCGGTCTAGTTAAGTTTGCATAATAGAACTCCCTACTTTGAAGAAGATATAGTTTAATAGAGTTGGTGTTTCAATATTACAGCGAACACGAATGTCAGTTTGATAATACAGATTTTGAATTGAATGTATGAATGTTTATGTCAACCTTGAGTTTTGATATCTCAAAATAATTTTTGAATCATATGAATTACTATCGAGCAAACTATACCTACCAACAAATTTTGACTAAAACTTAATCATAGAATTTTGTCCTATGATATTTTCTATACAATTTAGTGTATTCTATCACGTACTAGAGTTAAGTTTAACTCACTCTTGTACTTTCGCACTTACAAAATCTCATGAATGACTTTAGTCAAATCAATAAAATACATTATATGATATTATTAAATATTACAACTTGAGATATAATTCGAATATAATACTTTCTCATTGATTATTATTCAATATGTTTTTTTATGTATATTTTTTCAATATTGAAGTTATAAAATAAACTTACATTAGAACACGTTGTTTATGACATTCATTTTTACTATTAGTATTAATATGAATAAAACAATCACCTTCCTCTTCTGAATTATTATGTATATTATTAAAAATACGTCGAATCGTACTCAAATATTTCATAACATATATTTGACAAGCATGTTTTAACATATCTTTAAAAAAAAAAGAAAAGAGAAAGCAATAATAATAATAATAATATTCATTATTTCATTCAATTGAACTAACCATATTGAAATCGATATGAAAGTTCAATAAGACATGAAATATTTTTTTCATTTATTTCTGGATTAAATATTGGATAAATAAATTCAAGCATTGATAAAAAATCATTTAAATCAATATCATTTAATATTATAGATTCATCTTTATTATTATTTAAAAATAAATTACATAATATTGGTGAAGCAGCTGATAATAAAGATTTATCACACCATATTATTTGTTGATTAAGAATTATTTTTATATTAGTAAATGGTCGTTCATGTAAAAAATAATCATATAAATTTATTTTATTATCAATATTTATTAAATTTTTTGTATATTTTGAAATATTTTCTGTTGTTATTGAATGAACACGTTTAATACTACCATTATTTTGTTTTTTATTGACGGAAATATTATCCATCATAATAGAGAACAGAAAAATAGAGAAGATTATTTTTTTTTTTAATTAAAAATTAGATATGATAATATAAGCGCCAAATATTTGTCTCGATTTTATTCCTATGATTAGAATTCTTATTTGGAAAAAAAAAAAAGAAAAACTTCGACTAAGTAATTCTATATGCACCATCTTGAATTTGTGTACTCCCCCTTGAAAGAATCAGAATTGCAAGTTAGTATTACCCTTTATATATATATTTATTACTAATAACTGCAAGACCATATTAAGTAAGAGAGAAAAAAAAAAAGAATAAATGAGATTGTCAAATGCTAGATTTACTATAAGCATTCATGTGTATGTCCCACCGTTCATCTCATCTAGCTGTTATTGTTTTTTATTGATATGAATAATCATGTGCACGATGAATTCAATTAGGTGAGATGGATTCTTTCGATTAGAGAAAAAGACAGACAAAAAAAAAACTGACGACTAGTTTTTTTTTTTTGTTAGCATCTTTTCTTTGCCTGTTGGTGATGATGATTAATCATTCATAATTTGATCTTTCCGATCTTCTCTTATTCTTTATGCAATAAAGTTTTTTTTTTTCTTCTCTTGTTCGATGTTTGAGAAGTATGACACAACTCATATGAAAATACTGTAAAATGAGTTTGTTTGTGATTGACTGACTAAATGAAAACCCATATAGATAGAAGAAACAAAAAGAAAAAAAAAACATTATTATTATAATTCTAGATTTAGATTGGGCTAGTAGATGTAAAAATCAAGCACGCATACTCAAATGAACTTGTGCTTCATATACTTCGTTGTCAATCGATTCTTCTCTATATATATGTAAGGACGACATGTCTTCCCAATTGGGAAATGGCATGAAGTTCATAAGCTAGACTTCGATGAACAAAACTAGCCATTTCCCATATGAATTATAAAATGATGATAAAACAACAGTTGAAATCATAATCAGATAGATGAATTTTATTTGGATATGTTTAAGTATACAATTAATATGAATGGATAAATTCCAGGTATATCTCATCAAGGAATATAAGTTAAGACACGCGATCGCAATGCATTTGATAATTCGATTATTAAAGAAGACGAGAAAAGAAACTCTTATGTGCAGTCGAGTTGCTCATTGAAAGGACTAGCGATAAGATAGTTGAAGAAGACACTGAAAAAGAGAAATAGAAGCAGAGACAATTCAATTTTTTGTTTCTTTTCTCTTGACAATGCTCAACGCGCATCGTCATTGGCATCTTGTTCTCTTAGTGCAAATGAAAAAAAAAAAAAAAAAAGAAAATTGGTTTGACTACGAATGTTGATAAGGTGGTAATGCACAATCTAATTTTTTCTATCGCTTTAATATTATTTCACTATTTTAAGTATAACTGACTTAGAAATACGCCAACGCACATATTTGAATGATGGAAATGTATACGTTTTCTTTTTTCTTCTTACACATTAATAGTGAATGTTTTGTTTCATGTTTATCTATCGCATCATCTTATTCTTTTGGTCTATGATTTAGAATGGACAACATAACACTTAGTGTCGTTTTTTTTTTTTTTCTTTTACTAACGACAACCAAATTGTGTAAGTACTCTTGAGACAAAGCAAAAACAGATAGAAGATGCTGACAACGGAAATTCAAGAAAATTATCCTTCAAAATTTAACTTGTATGTCATATAGATAAAATAAAATATTTTGTATTAATATATAAATCGATCAAATTTATAGTCTATTTTTGTATTTGATTGAGTATTGAGTTTGATTATGACAACAGATGCCAAATTATAAAGAATAGTTTTTATATATAAATAAATATTGAGCAGTTTAAATTGACACAAAAAAATTGTCATTTATTATGTGTTTATATCATAATAAGAGTGCACATACATACAATAAGACCAACATCATTCTTACTAAACATCAACATAGAGAACATTGTATGAGTATAAGAGAGAAAAGTGTTTTCATTATTATTTTTTTTTTTTTACAACACTATCGTCACAACTTCTATAAGTAATCGAAGAAAAATGCTCTGTGTCTTCTCCGGTTTTTTTTTCTCTTTCTCTCTGTCTTTCGTCTTCTTCTGCGTTCTTCTTTCTCTTTTGTTCTCTATATGTGTGTCTGTATGTGTATGTTTGTCTAGTTGCTTTGACGGTTGATGATGATGATGATGATGAAATAGAGTGGCACTTTTTCATTATTTGAAATGACACAATCGAAAGAGACGATCTAAGTAAGAAAACAAGAAATATTTATTTATTATCCACAAATCTTAATTCCCGTTTTTATTTTATTTTATTTTATTTTTTTAAACAAACTTCTACTTTTATTAACATCAATGTCGTTTAGATAAGATAAAGTATCATATTATTACCATTTCTACTATCTTTTATCAAATGTCATGAGAATATTTTACTATCAGGCTTATTAGCCATCATATTTCGAATGATTATCGGTACACAAAACGTACGCACATGTGCACTTATGTTCATTGTGCTTATGTATTTAATGTTTGGTGCTGCTGTTTTTAATGCTTGTAAGTATATTTGATTAAATATAATAGATTAAATAATGATTTATTATTGTTTATTTTAGTGGAATCAAAAGAAGAAGTTCGTCAACGTGCTCTACTTAGATCAAGAATGGCTCGTATTTTATATAAAAATGAAACAATTCAAAATGAAACTATTTTTAATACTTTAACAGCAGCAATATTTGAAAATCGACATACACGTAGTGGTACAGCTAAACAATGGACATTTCCTGGTGCCTTTTATTTTTCAACATTAGTCGTAACTTTAATAGGTAGATTATTATTATTTTTTTTTTTTATTTTCTATAAGATGTATTCTATTCAAATGATACTTTTATTTATTGTTAGGTTATGGTCATACA